ATCCACAGAGCCCCTGTTTGGTTCCCCCCCCCCCCGAAGAATCATGATGGGGCTTTTTTGAGGGGGAGGCTGGCTAGGAACAGACTGAAAGTTATGAATTTTCCTGTGCTAAGCAACAGGATTTGAGTGGCTAAATTTGTGTTCTTTTAATGGCTGAATCTAATTGAAGTATGCTGGGTATACAAAGTCCCATACATTTATTTCCTTAGGAATAATCTTGTTAGTTTTGTCCACCACTGGTAGCTAGTAATGCATAATTATGCAGCCTAACATTTCCAAGGACATTGATCTGGCCTGATATCATGCCATCCCTTTATGAATTATCTTTTCTCTTTGCATCCATTTTCTGTTTGCTAAAGGAATTATTTGTGAACTACAAACATCCTTCTATAAACTCTAAGTTTATTTGATGCAGCTGCAAATCTCTCCATGCCATATTCTTATTATATACTCACAAATAGTGAGTGCAACTGAAGTTGTCAGTGTTTTACCTTTTCCACTGGAAGATATACTTTCCTGGGAGACAACAGCAGGCTTTTTCATTCAATGATGAGGTAATCTGACTTGATTCATATATAGTTGATTCACATGTATAATCACATTTTAAGGCTTCATAAGAGAACTTGCTACACTAGTATGTGATACAAGCAACTTTCGATGTGTGTTATGGCAAAAAGGAGCGGCCATTACTACGTTTGTTTCATAAGTTGCCTGAGTGGATGATTCCTTCTCTCTGGAGCATCTTTCTGATTGTCTGGAATCTTCTGCAGAGTGGTAGAAAACAAGAGAAGATGGCTCAAGCTTAATTGATTTTATCAGAGTCTCCCTTTACCGAACACATTACTGGAACTCTTACTTCTTTCTTTATGAGCTGTCCATTCTGGACCAGTGCTTAACCATTCTGCAAGACGGCTGTTGAACAAGGAGACGAACAAACCCTCAAGTTCTCTTCTTTTTACTATTCTTTGCCTCCTTTTCCATGGTAGCTGATGCCAGAACACTGATTCTTTTTCTCTGAAACTTTCCCATAGGATTGGAGAACAGAAGGGATGTCAACAAATTTATTTGCTGGTGAGTAAGTAACTTCACCTTCTCAGTGGCACAGACCTCTGGAATGCAGTATGGATTGTTAAACAAATAGTCTTCAATAATTTACAGATTCAACTTCCATTTTTAATTGCTTTGTAATAATTTTGTAGTTAACATTTGATATGATATTAGATAAAGATGCAGTCTCACTCTGTTTTGATAAGGAGGATTTAATGTTTTTCCCCACCAGTCATCAAACACAGAAGGGATGTATTGGTTATGCAATACTGTTCTATGCCTTCTCTGGAAAAGTGACAGTATTTCAGATGTTGCCATGTTTTCTGTGTGAAGAAATCTAGAAGAATGAGTTTTCTCCTGCTCACTGAAGAGGTAAATCATGTGACCAGTGTTTCTGGAAAACAAAAATGCCCACCAGCTCAAACTCTGGTTCTTTTCTTGGCATTTTCTAGGATAATTCATCTGGCCTAACAGTTCTAGAAAACACCTTATTTCATTTTACTTATCAAGTTTGTTTCTGCTTACTTCTCCTTCATAATTTCTTGATCTTCTCACAGAGATTTGCAAATGTTTTTCCCTTCCTCCTACTCATGATTTACCTACTGTTCTTCGTTTTGCTTCTGGCCCATTTCCACCTCTCAGTGCTATGGTGCCTAGCAAGTCATGGTGCAAACAGAAGCAAACATACAAAGCTGCAGGTTATTTGAAGTTTGTTCTGAATGATATTGCTTCTTTAGAGCATGCTAGTGATGTAGGTGCCATTAGCAACAAGGCAGTCTGAAATGGACCAAATGCAGTATTGCTGCAAGGAAGGCCTTTCCTGTATTCCAGCAATCTGGTAACTGATTCTAATGGCTGCTCCCAGGGTTTGGCTGGACTTCCTGGACACGGCGTTGGAGAACAGGGCAAGGATAAGGGTCAACATGGAAGTCTGAAGGAAAGGAGAGGGGAGAATGGTGCCCACTAGCCATTTTTCTGCCCTGCATTGGCCTTGCTACAAGTTTAGGCAGTGGCCATTTTTGGTCCAAATGAGTTACTACTCATCAGCATTCAGCGCCTTCCACTTAGGCATCGGTGCTGCCACAATTTAGCCTTGCTAATCTTCCCCAGCAAACGTCCTCAGTGTTTAAAGCTTACAGAGCTACTCAAACAGTACTACACAGGGAAAAAAATAGTAAAATAATTCAATTCCCTTAAAGGCCCCAAGACTAAGGAATCCCTTCAGCATGGCCTGTGGGCCAGCGGAGAGAAGTCTTCCATTTCTGAAAATGCTGCCAGGATGTCTTTGGCACCAGTAGCCCTTTTTTTATTATCTAAAGGCTTCTGCTTTGTCCTGCAGCCCCCACTGGCTTCCCCTCAACTGAAGGGAATTCCATGGCATGTGGAATGGAATCTGATTTTTTCTTTTGCAGAAATCACTGTGCCTGATGATGTCAGGTTTTCAACCAAAGTCTCTATAACCAGATAATGCAGACTTCAAAGTATGTCTACGTAGTTGATGCTCTATTTGTGGTTTTGTTGTTGAAAGTCCTACCTCCTATGAAAAGAAATATCACCCAGTTAAGGACACAGGGAAAATATCCTATCACTAAGTATGCCCGTGAAGCTTTTGCTGTTTCTGTCAGAGCTTCCTCTAAATTCTCCAGATTTGTCATCCTCAGGTTACAGAAAATGCTGGCATTTAAAATTCTATTCGAGGATGGTGAGAAAGAGGCTTATGGGAACCCCAAAGAGTCACCTATCTTAGAATAATACTATACATTATTTGGTTTATTATAGTGTACATGCTCAAGCATCCATTTTGAGGTGCTTGGCAGGGGCACAGTCTACCCACATCACCCTGGTGGTAGACTGGGCCTGTGGAATTTATTGTAGAAGGTACACTTAGTGCTCTGCTTTCATGGAACACACCCTGAGTGCTAAGCAGGGTAGTACTGTACATTACACAACATGTCTGCAAAGGCTACTCATTCCCCTTGCCAATTTTTGCTCCTGGTTTTGCTCCTGGCTTGGCTATGGGCCGTACTGGGGATGGTGTTGGAAGGCAATTATTTTCAGAAACTTTGGTCACCTGACCTTGTCTCTTCAAAGCAATAAGTAGGACACAACTCACTCTTCTGGATACCTTCTTTGCACCACCCTAGGAAAGACCTTTACAGTAAATTGTCATGTTCTGACCTACACAACTGTTGTTGTATAGAAGTTCAGAAACAATCATATAATTTCTAAGGATAGATAAGTAATGAAAGACTTTTGAGAAGAAATTTTATCCTGTACAGAATAAATTTTCAGTGTACAGTAAATAGTGCATTTCATCATTAAGACTTTCAGATTTCTGTAGGCTTTACAGTAGAAGCCTTTAATAATAATCATGTGTTGTTGAGTCAATTCTGACTTGTGGTTACCCCTTTCAAGGTTTTCTAGGTAGAGGATACTCAAATGATTTACCATTCTCTTCTTCTGAGTCATCCTGGGACAGTGTGGCTTGCCCAAGGCGACACATGCTGGCTTCTCTGGGATGCACAGTGAGGAATTGAACTCACAGCTTCCTCAGCCAGATATCTAATTCACTGACCCATAATACTTTCTGAAATATAAATAACTTTGTTGTTAACACCTCCCGTTTCCTTCTGTATCTCCTGTTGAAATGGCTATCTGAAATAAGGGAAACTTATGCAATTTGATAACATGGGCCCTTTAGTAGACGGAGAACTGGTCATAGTCAGACCATGTTCACGTCACAAGATAGATTGCTTCAGGGCCACATTGATCGTAGAGTGACAGTCTCTAGAATGTGGAGGAGTGCAGTCAAACACGCACTTACTTACTTGGAAGGTTTTGAATCTTTCCCCCTCCCCCCGCCAGTTCTCTTTGTCTTTTCTTTGATTTTGTTTTTGGAGTAAAAATTTTTCCTTGTCATTTCAGAAACTGTTTTTCTAAGTTTCTGTAGTTTCAGTTATGTTTGCCACAGAATTGGGGAAACAGGATGAGTTTCTATTTAGAGAGATCAAAATGCACCCTTTCCAGCTACATGGGTGGGCAGAGTGTCTGACTTATTTAGTGGTGGCCACCATAATGGGCTAGAAGTTAAGTGACTGCCTGGGTTTGTTGAGTCTGCTAGAAGCATACTTTGTGTCCCACAGATTAACACCATGCCTGGGTTTGTTGAGGCTGCTAGATGCATACTTTGTGTCCCACAGATTAACACCAAGCTCTTGACCTGTTGCAGTGCCACTGTTCGATAAACACATGGGGAAGAAAGGATGGCTGTCAGGTGCATTCTTGCTAAAGCCATTGTCTCCTGTTTTGAATGGCAGCACAACATGGCAGTAGTGTGTTGTGGTGTTTCCCGGAATATGCCAGCTACCAATGGCACACTACACCTAGAGCTTCCACAGTTACCCCATGTTTTCAGTGTATTCATTATGGTATGGTGGGATTATGGCCCTTAAACTCATGTGAAAAAGGAAAACATCAGCAAGTTCTGTCTGTCTTTGGCAGGATATGAAGGTGAGAGTCTTCTGAAGATACTAAAAGACATTGAAAATAGCACAGAGATCTTGCTGGACAGATGGAAATTTGAAGTCATACCTAATGATAAAGATGAGAAAGGAGATCCGGTGCCTTACAGCATCATCAATAATTATTTCTCAATTGGAGTGGTAAGATTTGTGCCAATACGTGTCTCTGTGTGTGTGCACGTGGTTTTTTGGGGGAAGAGGGGCTGTTATAAGTAACTGTTTAAAATATATGTGCAGAGTGAGGGCTGACTGAACAGAGATAATTTATATATAATTTTCCTAGTAAAGTCATATGTAGAGGAAACAATTTGCATACATCTAGTTACATAGTCAAAATAGAATTATTTTTCTCAAGCTCTTCCACCTGTTTGTGCATGGGCAATATAATCACACTGTTCCTAATGGTTTATATGAAGAGCTGTAGCACTAAATTAATGGTGCCTATACAAATATAAACGATGAATCATTCATTAACACCTCTTAACTATCATGTTGGTAAATATTCTGACTTTCAGAGGCATGCTGCTGAAGAATGTTTCTTAAATATACTCTTTTTGTTTAATGGACCAATTTAGGCTTGCTTCCATATGTTTCTTTGTAAAGAAAATTAACTTATGTATTGCTTTCCTAAACCCATTATGTCCCTCTCCTTGAAGGCATAGGAATTGTAGTATATCGGGCACTTTCTCTCTCTCTCTATAAACCTTTATTGGCATTATAAAATACAAGTGAGTGCACAGCATAGTTACATTCCAGTTCCAGGTAGAGGGGGGAGCAGGCTAGGGATTATAGTAGGTTAGGTTCGAGAAAGTTTGTGGGGATATGGGGAGGGGGGAGGTCTTTGTAACAATGAGGAGGAATTCGGCTACTTGATTGGTGATAGACGTCGAAAAATCACTCAGTAGTATTGGGGAAGGGTCAGGGAAAGAGAGGGAAAGGGAAGAGAGAAGTGGTCCTAGCAGTCGCTTGCGAGGGGTATTGTGAATTGGGCACCGGAGTAGAATGTGGTCCAGGGAGTCGGGTTCAAGTGCACAGAAATGGCACAGTCTATTGGAACGAGGAGTTCTTGTGAATCTTCCGAAGTGGGCTGCGGATGGGAAAATATTCAGCCTGGCGAGCATGAAAGCTCGTCTTTTTTGAGGATTGGACAGTTGATTAAAGTAGTTAGAGGGACGGCCAAGGGAGGGGGATAGGCCAAAAGCGAGAGGGGAACAGGTAGGGTTCATTTGGGAGAGTAAGGTTGCATATTCAAGATCATAAAGGCTGGACCTACTGGTTTGATGTGCTGAGTGGAGGTTCATGTCGGCTAGGGTTTCGACAGTAAGAGATAGTGAGGATATCGGGCACTTTAAAGGAGGTTTCTGACAGTTGTAGGAGACAGGTGGACCTAGTAATGAGGTGATGCCTAGCGGGTTTGAATGGGGGGGAGGGAGTTATGCGTATTTATTGAATATGTGTCTTGTGTATACATTTATTCCAAAGAACAGCATATGGTTCTTTGGAATAAAGAACCGTATGCTGAAGTAGTTGTCATGTCTGGACCCACAACATAACAGGAATAAAGTAGATAATGGTGGTATTGGGGAGGACCATGGATCAATCACAGAATATGTGTTTTTGATGCAAAAAGTTCCACATTCAATCCTTGTCACATCTATGTAACAGTAGGAGGAAAACTTAGAGAGTAGCTTCCAATTAGTGTACATAATACCAGTGTTGGTCGTAGCTGGCATAAGCCAGTTCCTAACAAGATGGAGATGAAGGTTGAAGAAGGAGGTGGATTCTTTGGTTAGACTGGTGATGGTGAATGAAACAATGTAAGAACTTGTAACACAAAACACCTTGATGGTTGAGAAGAAACAAAAGCCTATCCACAGCTGTTTAGATCTGTACTATTTACTAGTGATAACATTAGACTGTGATACACTGTGGAACCTTACCAGTTACTGTAGCTGCAATTGGGAGAAGCCAGTTGGACAAACATTATACTGAGCAGGATTCTGGCCGATTACTGATTTTTGTTTGTTTGTTTGTATTTGGTTTTTGTTTTTGTTTTTTGAGCATCTCACTGGTCTAGCCAGTTACTGTAGCTGCAATTGGGAGAAGCCAGTTGGACAAACATTATACTGAGCAGGATTCTGGCCGATTACTGATTTTTGTTTGTTTGTTTTTGGTTATTTGTTTTGTTTTTTGAGCATCTCACTGGTCTAGTTAGCACAGTACTTCCCCTTCTCATCTGTGGCCAACCACAGATGCAAGCTGTATAAAGTTGTTCTTCATGAATGGTTCAGTCCTGTTGTAGGTTGAGGGCATGGCCATGTTTTGTGGTAAATCAGTACCACAAGTCATGTGTGCCACTGTCTTTGAAAACTATTTATAAATTTCAGCTGGTAAAGAATATGAAGGCTTGCCTTGTAAAAGAAAGAAATATTACTTGAATGTTCTGATACTTCCACAAGGATATCCATTAGGATGTATGTGGGTCACTGTGATATTTTTGTGGCCCTCATAAGACTTCTAGCTTGCAGGAGAAATTGGTTAAAGATAGGCAGCAAAATGATAGCACTTACGGGGTACAAATTTCTCATTATATGCTGTTTATTACCATTCCACCCCACCCCACCTCACCTCCATGCCTTGTTTTGTCCAGAACTGCTTTATGCAGCCTGTGAATGCAATCTGTAGGGGTCTATGGCGAAGGAAAAATGGGGTGGGTGTGACCTTGGACCCTTTGAAGTTGTGCATCCTGATCTGTCTCTTATCTTGTGTCCCTTTCTGATTTTTCGATATCACTGAGTGCATTCTCTTACATTTTTTTCCATGGCTGGAGATGTTAAGATGGCATGGATGCAAAGAGAGGGTACTTGAATTATGGAACCTGCTCCCTTTGCAGACTCACAAAAATTGTCCTAAAGAGTCGCCTATGCTTTTCAAGCTAGTGCTGATTATGAGTATCAGTTCTCATTTTTAATCTTTTAAATACACTTTTAAGCCAATACAGGAGGCATTGGAATACAAAACCAATTATAACCCATTTTAAGTAAAGTAAAAAAAAAAGCATGGTCCTATTAATTTAATTTCTAAAAGTCTATTTATTATCATTGTTGAAACTTCTTAGACAAACAGGAAAAAGAAATTAAATATCTCTGATTGCTATTGTTGTTTGGTTATAATTTCTTATTTGAGGAAGACAAGAGCTGGGGAATTTGTTGGCCTTCAGGTGTTAACAAGCTTCAGTTCCTGTCAGGGACAGCTAGCCTAATGAATAGAGAGGGATCAAAGGAAGGGTATGGTCCATATTAACATTTGGGTAATCATAAGTTCCATGTCCCTGCAGTCAGGAAGAAAACAGTGTCATTAAAGACTTTACTAGTTACAATGACAGTGGTGTTAGCTATGATTTCTGATTTTCCTGTACAATGAAGACCTAATGGATTTACAAGTCCCCATGGGATGTAGCCATGGTTGACTTGATTTAAAATCAAATTGATTTAATCATGATTTAAATTTTAAAAATTAGAAATTAGATTATTTGACAATTTAAATTGAAAATGATTTTTTAAAAATTAATCATCATTTAATGGTTGTTGTGGGTTTTTCGGCAAATTAGATTATTTGACAATTTAAATTAAAAATGATTTTTTAAAAAATTGATCATCATTTAAATTAATTTGATTTTTTTTAAAAAAATCATTAATTATTATCCACCTTGGATGTAACCAATTTCTCATGTGTGTTGACATGAATTGTGTGCATCACACTGATGTTAATTCTCATATTATTCTAACTATGATTCCATCACCAAGACACTTTTTTGGGTTAGGGAGAATCGGTTTCTCATGAAAGCAGTTAGGTAACATTGGTAGCCTTTCATTTCCAAATAAATAAATAGAATAATGCAATGAGAAAAAACAGAGTAATCATAAAATGATCTCTAGATTAAGAGACATATCATAAGTCTTAACATTTTATATAATTGTAGGGCTGTCATACTGAGAGAGTGCCTTACTCATATTAGCATGACTGATGAATAGAAATCAGTATGTATTCCTTTTATATTCAATCTCTGCTATTCCCATCATTATCATATGGAAGCAAAAGTACAAGGCAAAGACAAGTATACTTTTACAACACCTAATATATTACTATCCAAATGTAATATCAAACAGAAATTTGCATGACTATGATTTAATATCCTTCAACTCTAGCCAGTCACTAAGAGCCTCTTATACTGCCAATAGGAGAAAAATATGACTGCTTAGTTCTCATAATCATAAATTTTGGAGTTGTTAAGGGTCCAGCTCCTCATCTCAACTCCCTAAGACTTCAGCCTCGTGTTTCATTCCATATCTTTAATACATTATTTCAAAATGAAAGAAGAATTTGAGTTACATCAACCTGGGAGCATATTTTAGTTCTGGCTAGATAAGGCTTTCCCATTGACATCCAAATGTGTTGCTAGCGAATACATTGATGTTTTTGATATTAAACTGGCAATGTACACTTGTAATTGATGTTGGTCCGCACATTTTAGTAAATCAAAGTGATAGCCAACGTAGAGATGAAATGCAGGGTAAGATCAAAGGTTTGAGTGTGGGAAACAGCCTTGAAAATGACCTGTCAAAACTATATTTGTGTACTTGTTCAAAGTATTTATAGCCTACTGTTATATTTAAAGATGCTCAAAGCACTTAATGATGTATAAAAATATACTATAGCAAATGTTATATAAAACATACCGTGGCATAGTTGCAAGAGAAGACTAAAAGAATGGCATAAAATGGATTTTATGAGTTCAATTGTCATAAATCCAACACAAAAACAATTAAATTTAAAAAAGTTTTAAATTAGCAAGAGACCATCATCCCAGAAGCCCATTGATATAATCAAGTTTTCTTTGTATATCGATAAGCAAGCAGAGTTGGGGCAAAGCAGGCCTCATTTGAGAGACCAGCCTGTAATCTAGCTTTTATGAGAGCAAATGGATGAAAGATATTATGGGCTTTGGGACTTTCAGGTCAACACATATGGGCCATTGGTTGTGGCAAGGCGAGAAACTTGTTAAAACAGTTCTAGTACAATGTTGAGCATTAAAGTAATTTATTTGTCATGAAAAAAAAATGTTCTTGGTCTTACTGCTT